GCTGAAGTAAATACGAAGGTGCGGAGGTGCATGCGGAGAGGGCTGGCGGCTGAGGACACGATTGTCTTTTTCAATCGGGAGGGAGTCTCAGGCTCGGAGCTCCAGTTCCGGGCGAGTCTCTGGGGACCCAGACTCACACGGGAGAAACGGGACTGTCTGGCATCGGTCGGAACTCGAGGGCAGCTTTCTCTCGGAGGCACTCGCAGCGATTGCCAGGACCTCTGAAGGCAGGATTGAGAGCAGCCATACTGCTCGCTCACTCGGCCCGCCCTGTTGATCCCCTGGGACCCCACCCCGCTGCATATGAAATGCATATGAAAGGCCCTTTGTAATCTGAAAATAACTTAACAAACTGCAGCTGCCCCAAGGCCCCAGGGCAACTTGCATTGCTTTACAGCTGGCTTCTGCTGGATAGCCTCAGGCAGAGGCTAGATTAGCACCTCCTTAGATCCAAGAGCCAGTGTACCCAGTGGTCAGAGTGGGACCATCCAATTACAACTCCTCAGATCTATAAGGGACACACTCAGGGGGCAGACTCAGTGAGCACCAAAGCCCCACTGAAGCAAGTCTTGCCCCATAAGGGTGTCTTCAGCACAGAAGTTCTCCCACCGTAGACACAGCTGATTCTCACAGCCAATTGGCCTGGAGGTCAAATCCTCCCAGTTTTACCTACAACAATCAAGGCTTAACTACAAGACTGTGCACAAAGCCCACAAGAGGGTGCACCAAGAGTGTCTACCTCAGGTAATTGGGACACTTAGCACAGAAAGCCACTCTATCGACACAGCGAAGCATAAAAAATGCCGAGACAAAGAAACAGAAAACAAATGACAGAAATGGAGGAAAGCAAACTGCTGGATATAGAGTTCAAAACCACACTTTTTTTTTTTTGTAGTTTTCTTTTTTTTTTTTTATTTTTTTTATTTTTGGCTAAAAGTATTACAAAGGGTATTACATAAGTGTCCTTTTTCCCCCCCCGCCCTTGACAGGCCCCTGCCCTCCCTTACCCCCCAGTGTCTTATGTCCATTAGTTATGGTTATATGGATGCATACAAGTCCTTCGGTTGATCTCTTACTCCCCTCCCTCCTGTCCCCCAACCCTCCCTGGCCTTCCCACTGCAGTCCGTCAAACAGTTTGAGGCAGCTCTGCCACTGTATTTATTATTGTTCAAAAGTTTGTAATGGTCTTAATTATCCATGAAAGAGTGCGATCATGTGGTATTTTTCCTTCATGACTGGCTTGTTTCACTTAGCATAATGTTTTCCAGTTCCATCCATGCTGTTGCAAATGTCAAAACCACACTTTTAAGGTCTTTCAAGAACTGTCTAGAAGCCGCCGATAAATTTAGTAAGACCCTCGAAAAGACTGGTGAGACTGCCGATAAATGTAGTGAGATCCTCAAGAAATCTAGTGAGACCCTCGATGTTGTGATAAAGGACCAACTAGAAATTAAGCATACACTAACTGAAATAAAGAATATTATACAGACTCCCAACAGCAGACCAGAGGATCGCAAGAATCAAGTCAAAGATTTGAAATACGAAGAAGCAAAAAACACCCAACCGGAAAAGCAAAATGAAAAAAGAATCCAAAAATATGAAGATAGTGTAAGGAGCCTCTGGGACAGCTTCAAGCGTACCAACATCTGAATTATAGGGGTGCCAGAAGAAGAGAGAGAGCAAGATATTGAAAACCTATTTGAAGAAATAATGTCAGAAAACTTCCCCTACCTGGTGAAAGAAATAGACTTCCAAGTCCAGGAAGCGCAGAGAACCCCAAACAAAAGGAATCCAAAGAGGACCACACCAAGACACATCATAATTAAAATGCCAAGAGCAAAAGACAAAGAGAGTATCCTAAAAGCAGCAAGAGAAAGAAAGTCAGTTACCTACAAGGGAGTACCCATACGACTGTCAGCTGATTTCTCAACAGAAACTTTGCAGGCCAGAAGGGAGTGGCAAGAAATATTCAAAGTGATGATTACCAAGAACTTACAACCAAGATTACTTTATCCAGCAAAGCTATCATTCAGAAGTGAAGGTCAGATAAAGAGCTTCACAGATAAGAAAAAGCTAAAGGAGTTCATCACCACCAAACCAGTATTAGATGAAATGCTGAAAGGTATCCTTTAAGAAGAGGAAGAAGAAGAAAAAGGTAAAGATACAAATTATGAACAACAAATACACATCTATCAACAAGTGAATCTAAAAATCAAGTGAATAAATAATCTGATGAACAGTATGAACTGGTGATTATAATAGAATCAGGGGCATAGAAAGGGAGTGGACTGACTATTCTTGGGGGGGAAAGGGGTGTGGGGGGTGCGGGAAGAGATTGGACAATAATCGTGCACCTATGGATGAAGACAGTGGGTGGGGAGTGAGGGCGGAGGGTGGGGTGGGAACTGGGTGGAGGGGAGTTATGGTGGGAAAAAAGAGGAACCAATGTAATAATCTGAACAATAAAGATTTAATTTAAAAAAAAAAAGAGAGAGACACATCAATTGGTTGCCTCCCGCATTTGCCCTGACCAGGGCCAGGATCAAACCGGCACACAGATATGTGCCCTTGACCAGAAATTGAACCCGCAACCCCTCAGTCAGGGCCAGTTTCACTCTTAAATCCTGAGTTTGTGGGAGAGGTCTGCGGTGAGGATGCGTAGTTAGTCTGTGAGATGTAGAGACAGAATTGGCTCACTTAGGGCTGTGGTTCCTAATCCTGGACCCACACTCCAATCACCTGGGGAATTGAAGAAACCACCCTGCTGGACTGAAGCCCCAGCCCGTGGGTGTGGGCCCAGGCATGGGCATCTTTTAAGGGCTCCCAGGTGATTCTGTGTGCACCCACGGTTGAGCTACACTGTGTCTGAGGTCAGAGCTCCAAGCAGAACTCAGGCAGAGGAGGAGGGGAACCAAGTGAAGGAGGGCTGTCAAGTACTGCTGAGAAGTTGGGAGAGTCCAGGTCACAAAGGGAGCCCAGGTTGCTTTTGGTTGGGGGAACAAGGAGGTTGGTGAGCGGATAAAAGCGATGTTATGGAGTAGTGGGCACCACTGGGAGATGAGTAGGTGGCAGGGAATTGGGAGGTGAGAAAATGGAGATGAGAGGACTCAACAACTCTTTTGAGGACTTTCTCTGTGAAGAGGAACAGAGAAGTGGGGAGATGCTGAAGGAGAATTCAAGTTCAAAGGAAAGTTTCTTTTATAGTTGTGAAGTTATAAAGCATGTTGGTGCGGCTGGAAATGATCATGATGACAACGATGGAATTAATGGGTGGAAGAGAGAGGGGACAGCTCCGTTTGCTGAGCTGGGAGGTGAAAGGAGCTGGGGTCGGAGCACAGATGTCTTGGGAACAGGGTACTTCTGTCATAGGCCATGAAGGAGATGGTGCAGATGCTGGTGCACTTGTAGGTGAGGTGGTGGGAGGTGGGGGGTATTCACCTATTTTTTTTTAATATTCTAAATAGACATTTTATTTTGTTAATTATTTTTTATTTTTCAATTGCAGTTGACATTCAGTATTATACTAGTTTCAGGTGTGTGAATGGACAGGGATGAAGGGGAGATGTGAAGGTCTTGAGGAGGAGAAAAGCAGCTACTCTGGGATGCAGGATCTCTGAGCAGCACGGAGAGCCTGCCTATGTAAGGTTTGAGACCTCTCTGGTAAAAACAATGCAATCAGCCTGGTTGCATGAATTTCTCTGGCCGTGGGCAGCTGCCAGGCACAGAAGAAAGTTGGGCCACCCAAGGTCCGGCTTTGCTGGACAAAGATGGAAGGAGAGAGGAGTGGGAGGGGGTGACTCCATTGGTGGAGCACAGAATCTAAGTGGGACAAGGATAGAGTAGTGGACAGCAGCCATGCCCATAGTCAGAGGTCACTGCAGCTCCGGGCAGTGGGGAGGAGCCGCACGTGCCATGCTAGAGGAAGTGGGCCGGAAGGAGAGAAGGAGGTGGCCAGAGGCAGATGCTTGGAAGTAAGATTGTGTCACTGTGACGTGACAATGGAGAGTTACTGTCATGAAGACAAAGCTTTCGATGTGCCAAGGGTGTTGGCAGCTGAGGCAGAGTTGTGGTCAGGAAGCCAGGTCCTCAGGGGCAGGATGCTTGTGTACATGAGGCCCCAGGGTTGGTGACAGGAAGTAGCATGAGGGGAGGACAATAAGGAAGGCACTGAAGTCTTTAGGAGACGTGTTTAAATCCCTCTGATCGGAGGCTCTCTGAACACAGCAATGTTCCCAGTGCCTGGCCCAGAGTAGGCGCGTGGTAAAACACGCAGCAAAGGATTAATGAGTGTATGCCTGATGTGTAATTTGATCTTTAGCCTTGACAGTTGAGGAAACTGAGGCCAGGGTTCTAGAGTGTCTGAGCACTTTTGCTTCTCAGCAGGAGCAGGGTTTTGGGGTGTGCACACATGATGAAGTCCCTGCCACCCACCCCTTCTGCCACCCCCATCACCTTCTCCCCAGCTCCGACTTCCCAGTCTCCAGTTGGGCTCCCTCAGATTTGGCCTCCATGCTGCTCCTTCCATAGTCCGATTGTTCCTCCACTGAGAATGAGACCAAGATCATTGCAGACCAAGATCAGGCTTCTCAGGCTCAGCCACTTACTCCCTCTTTGCCCCTTAAGCGTCTGTATACACACTTTTCCCTTCCGCTCTGTGCCCACTGTGCCCGCCCTTGGCCTGGAAGTCCTGGGGCTCCCTGCCCGCCCGGTGCAGCCCTCCCTGCCCTTCACACGCCTCACTTCTCTGCCCGATTGTCCGCCCCTACTGCACATGGAGCCATAATTACCTGCACCCTGCCCACCTGCTGGCTTGGACTTGCAACCACTGGTAGCAGAGGTCAGGTCCAGGTCATCCATGTCCCTGGAACCCAGCAGAGGGCACTGGTGTCTGCTGCAAAGCATGTGAGGGAGGGCCTGTGTGCCTGTGTGGATCCCAAGCGCCACTACCAGGAGCTGAAGTGAGGCGGTGCGGGGTATGGACCACGAGGCAGGACCAAGAGGGGAGCTAGAGGCTTTATTCTCAGCAGACCTGTACACTATACACTGGAGGGCTGGCAGGGCTCCTCAGGCCACCTGCCTTGGCCCCAAAGGCCAGAGCGGATGCAGAGTTGTGTCCCCAGATATCCATTGTTTGCCCACCCTCTTGTCCCAAGCCAGGTCACACCAGGTGTTCAGGGCCTATCGCAGGGAGCTGGGCCCTTCTTCCGCTCTCGGCTCAGCAGTGTCACCAACTTGGCCTTGAAGCCTGAATGGGCACCAGAGCGGCCAGAGACCCCGGCCTCGTCGCCATTGTCATCAAGGTCCAGCTCCAGCAACCGTCGGTACTGGGCCTCCAGGCTGCTTTCATGGGCTGGGCCAGGCCAGCCCAGGTCCTTGCTGTTGTGGTAGATGGGGCTGGCTGGGGGGCTGAAGCCACCAGGGCCCTCCTGCTCAGGGTCCCCCAGGTCGGGTGGCACAGGGCCAGCTTCTAGGGCACACAGATTCTCGTAGAGGTGCTCAGCACCGGCCAGGGGCCCGCTGGTCCGCTTGCACACGGCAGCGTACAGCCCAGACTCCAGGGGCAGCAGGGGCAGGCTCTGTGGTCCAGGATCGGCCAGGAGCACCCTACGAGAGTCTGAAGGCTCAGACCCTGGGGCAACTCCCGCAGCTCTCCAGGAGGCTCAAGTGAGGGCAGGGAGGTGGCCCGAGGCAGGGGGCAGGGCCGAGGCCCCACCAGCTCAGGCAGCCGCTCCTTCTGGCGGGCGATGGCCGCAGTCACGACCCCGCACAAGTCTCGAGCTCGGGGGCTGCTGAAGGCGAAGAGGCCCTCGCCTGAGTCACAACGGCGGCCAGCTTCGAAGGAGAACACGTCCTGGTCATGGTGACATGGCGGTCAGCTGCCAAGGGGTTCCCCCATCTCCCACTGTCCCTAGTCCCCCTCCACTGCAGGCCAGTGCCTCACCTTGTCGGAACCAAACTTGCGCAGGAAGTGGTAGGGCCAGGTGTAGAGGGCCTGTGGGCTGCCTGGCTCGCTCAGCTGGATGGCATCTTGGCCCAGCAGCAGGATATAGGGCCCCTTCAACTGGCAGCGGGTAGCTGCCTCTGTCCTCTGCACCACCACCGGAAATGTGCCCACTGCAAGCAGAGGGTGCAGACGCTATGGTCCCCCAGAGGCCCCAGCCCTGGGTGTGGTGGCACTGAGGCTGCCCTCCCCCTCCCTGACTCACCTTCCTGCCAGGAAGAGTAGATGGAGTTCTCTTCCATGGGGACCAGGCCCCGCTTGGGAGCCTCCGCTTCCCCTGATCCGGAGGAAAATTCCCCTGTGGCCTGGGGAAGGAAAGGGTCAAGGTCAGAGATTAGAGTCCCACCCCCCCAGCACCCCCGGCCCCCAACCTCTTCCTGCATCCTTTTCATGTGGAGAGATGTCACCTGACACACTGCACTACCCTGGGCACCCCTCTGAGCCGATTTCGCTCCTGTAATCTTACTCTTCCCCCTGGGAGACTGAGAGCTGTACATCAGCGACACACAACAGGATGGCCCCTCACCCTTGCGTTAGGCTAGGGACCAGGCCAGCCCATGTGTGTCCCCCATAGCTTAGAGTGGTGAAGGGGCTTTGGGGGTGCAAACAAGTGAACTGGCCATTCACTCCTCCCCAGTCCTCTGGCTCCATCTCACCCCTCGCTACCCCTAGTTCCTGCATGTAATTCACACTGATCTCAGCACCTCAACCATGACCACCTGGCCCATGGTAGCATGGCCAGGGCCAAATGCGGTGGGTTCCTCGCTGGTCACCTTGCTCCTATTCATTTCTTTTTCTTTTTTTATTGTTTTTAAATAAAAAAACTTAAATACACAATATAAAAGTTACCATTTTAATCGTTTTAAAGTGTATAATGCAGTGTTTTTAGTAAAGTCATCAGGTTTGCAATCAAGGTTGTGCAATCATCATCTTTATCTAGTTCCAGAACTTCCCATCACTCCACGTTAAAACCCTGCCCAGCCCCTGGCAAACACTAAGCTGCTTTGGGTTCTATGGATTTGCCTAATCGTACAATAGGTGGCCTTTTGTGCCCTTAGTTTAATGTCTTTGAGGTCCATCCACTGTGAAGCACGGCTCACTGCTGCATTCCTTCTTATGGCTGAGTAATGTTTCATTGTACGGACAGACACGTTTGGTTTCTCCATCATCAGCTGACAGACATTTGGATTGTTTGGGCTTTTGGAAATAGTGCTGCTCTGAACATTCTTGCGTATGTTTTGTTTGAACATGTTTCAATTCTCGAGAGACTTGCTGGGTCATATGGTAACTCTTATGTTTCACTTATTAAGGAACCCACCAGACTCATTTCCTTTTGGCCCATTACAGACCCTGTGAAGCTTTAAAACTCAGTCCCTAGCTCAACCCCACCAAAGGCTTCTCCTCTCACTCTTAATAAAACCCCAAACTCCACACGTGGCCCAAGGTGGTTTCAGCTGGCTTCCACCGGACTCTCACCTCGCCTCCCCTGGGCCCTCCCACTCCTTGCCCTCCAGCCAAACCGAACTTTTCTCTGCCTCAAGGCCTCTACCGCACTGCGCTCCCTCCGTCCAGGACACTCCTTGGGCCTCAGTGCCTGGGACACTCTCCTTAGATGTTTGCCTGGTGGGTTGTCCTTCAGGACTCAGACCTACTGTCCCCTCATGAGAGGCCTCCTTACACCATCCTGCCTAAGGCCCCCTGGTTTACTCCTGGTCCCACCCCTGCCTTTCATTTTCTCCATCGCATGTATGGCCATCAGATTTTTTCTGTGGTTTCTGGGCTGTTTCCCAGGCTCATAGGTACTTGGCAGGTGCTTGCTGAGTGACAGGATGTGAGTGAATATGGGATGAATAAGAGGGAGGTGAGCTGGTCCCCCTGGGGCCAGACCTGGGTGCCCGGCCCGCTTGCCCTGTGCTCACCGGGAAGGCCAGCTGGCAGATGGGGCCCATCCATTCCTGGCGGTGCTGTGCGGCCAGCAGGTGGCTTCTCTCGGTGGTGGTGAGCAGGAAGGCACCAGTGTCCCGGGGGCAGCTCTCACCATCAGCTGGCAGCACCGACACGCAGTCGGCCAGGCGGATGACCCGCCGCTCTCCCCGTCGGCTAGGACCTGCAGACCTGTCACCTGCTGGCCCCGTGCCACCATCCCGGACTTCCCAGCTCTCCAGCCGTGCCACGCCTGATGGGCCACCTGCATAGAGCAGACCCCACACCTTCCGCCAGGACTTCTGTGGGAGATGAGGATGGGGGTGAAGACCACCGCAGCTCACTCAGCAAACACTCCTGGTCACCCAGGCTGGCCTTCGCCTCCCCCAGCTCCTCAGGGCCTCAGAGGAGGAGGCCTTGCCACAGCCAGCCCAGCAGGGGGAGGAGTCTGTGCTTGGGGTCAGTCAGCCCTGGGTTAAATCCACCCCACACTTTCCTAACTGGTACCTCCTTAAGACTAGTGACCTAGTCTCTCAAAAGGTCATGACAATGTGAGGCTGGGGCTTCTACTGGATTATGTCTGTAAAGTCTCCAGTGGCTGAAACAGACCACTTGACACTGCCGTTCTGTTGGTGCCCAGCCCCCCCCCCCCAAAGGTCACTTGGGCCACAGGACAAGGACTGTGGCGGCAGGGAGGCATTCTCATGATGGCAAGGAAGGAAACATGCAAATAGTGTCAAGCAAAGGAAACAGACCATTTATCTGCCTGGGCAGCAGCTGCAGCTGAGCTGTGGGGGTGCAGAGCCTGCTGCCTGAGAAGTGAACCCCCTACTATGTCCCATGACAGGCTGGGAGGAGCCGAGCCCTCTTCTGCAGGGTGGGGTTCCACCTCTGGGGTCTCCTTCAGCTCATCCCCTGGCCCTCCGAAGGGTGGAAGGCTGTTGGATTAGCAAGCCTCCCGGCTCTGCCCTGCCCCAAGGTTTGTGTTCTTAGACCCTCCTGACTCTTGGCTTCCCCATCTATAAATGAGGCAGGGTCTCCCCAGGGCCCACTCAGGCTCAGCTCTTCTGCTCAGGCAGAGGATGGGCCTCTCTCCCATCCCCACATCTGGGTTAGCTCCCCCACCCTGATTCCCATCACCATTCTCCCAGGTCCAGGCGTGGAGGCCCAATTATCCTGGGCAGCCAGGTCCCCACCTTGCCAAACTTGACGTGCTGCTGGTACAGGATGCCATCCTTGACGGGGGTCTCCAGAGGCTCCATGGCCGCGGAGGGCCGGAGGGCCACCACTCCGAAGGCCTGAGGAGACTGGTGACAGGCCGAGGGGAACTCCTCACACTTCCCCTTCTGGCCACTTCCCCTCCCTCTGTCCAGAGAGGCAGCTGCATGACTGGGGGAGGGGAATCCCTTCTTCAGTAAAGGAGCTAGAATAGGGGGTGGGGGCATCACATATTTCCACCTTAGGGTTGCAGCGGGCCAAGGTGCTCAGCCATGCCTGGCAGAGGCCTCAGACCGCCTGAGGGCAAAGACCCATGCCTGCACCTGGGTCACTGGGTGTGAGTGAGCGTCAGGCCCACAGGCTGGCCCCCCAGTCATGGGCTCTGACACCTTCCCTGATCCCTCAGGGGGCAGTTGTGCAACCTGGGACCTGCATTCCCACAGCCAGACTGGCGAACTTCCTTTCCTACTTGCAACCCTGGTTGGTTGGCTTATCCTTCTATCAAAATATTTTTAATATTCATTTGCTCCATCTTCACAGCCCCTAATGCCAGCCTGAATATCTCCCTTTGAATCACCACCCCACCTGGGCGCACTCATCTCTCCCCTTTCTAAACCTTTTCTGGCTTCCCACTGCCCTCAGGTCTAGCCTGGGCTCCTCAGCCCAGCACTGCAAGGTGTTGAGTCCTGACCCCAGCCCACCCCCTCCAGGGCACCCCTCATCGTGTTCCTCTGGGTGCCAGCTGCTTACTCTGGGAGGACTTCCCTCACCCCTCCATGCTGTCTGAGCGCACAAAGGCCCCAGCAGTGTGCCCAAGTCCTCATGTGTGGCTCTGGCCACCTGAATGTAGGTGGCATGTCCCCAGTGGGCCCCCAGGGAGCTCATATGTTCTTTTTAAGTTTTGCTTCCTGCTGGGGGCCTTTTTATTTTTTTTTCCTTTGCCTTGCCTTGCTGGAGGCCAGTAACTTGGCTCTGAACGTGGGCCTGAATTCTGAAAACAGCCTCATGTCATTCATTCAAAGCCACCTCTGGAAAGGAACATGTGAACAGGCTGAGGAATATAATTTGGGGGTCACATATGGAGTGTGTTGCTTCTCAGGCAGGACATTTTTTCCAAGTCCTCCTGCACCCGGCTTTGTGCCAAACATGGACCACACAGCCCGGAGCCCAGCCTTACAAACACAACCCTTTGCATTCTCACCGCCATTTCAACAATGAGGAAATCAAGGCTCAGACATTAAGTAACTTGCAAAGGCCACACACCAAGTGACAAACATGACTTGAGCAACTGCTGTCCTGCTGGGATAGCATGTGGCCTTGCACACGAAGTGTCTGACCGTGCCGGTCCTCTGCCTACCCCTTGCCAGATGTTGAAATCCTGGTCCATTTATCAAGATACTCGTGACTGCTGCCCATGTTCATTACATCTGATCTCTTTCCTCGTCACCGGTGAGCTGCCCAGCGGAGAGCTTGGCACAGAGCATATCAAAAACTGCTTGTAGCCTGAGTGGCAGTCCTGTGGCACCGGCTGCTTCTCAGCAAACAGAGCGGAGGGTTCTATACCAGGAACAGGGGGCCTGAGGCAGGAAGTTGCCTCTCAAGGGGCCCTAGGAGCTTTGCACAACCGTCAAGGAGGAGGCTGGAGGTTATGACAGCCAACCAGACACACAAAAACCCAGTCAAGGATTTTGCCTTGTCTGCCAGTGTGGCGCCTCCGAGTCATAAATAAAGCTAGATGCCTCCTGCCACAACCAAGCCGTCTGGGTGTGGGGAGAGACCCAGGGTCTGCCGCAGAGGGCTCCAGAGGTCAGGGGGTGAGGTGGCCAGGAAGTAATGGGCAGACGAGGTGAAGCACAGAAGCAGGGCTGGGGCTGAGACTAGAGAGGCTTGTGCTTTAATGGCAACTGGGATAAAGGGGAACAATCATAGTAATTCCAGAGGCACAGAGGGCAGGCAGCCAGGCCCAGCCTAGCCCAAGCCAGCTGGGCCGAAGATGCTGGCTTCTTGTCCAGGGTCTGGCGTGTGGGAGGCAACTGGAACCCAGAGACTGAGGCCTCTTGGAGAGGGATGACAGACGGCTAGAAGTCCATGGAGCTGTGAGCCAGGTAGTCCTTGCGGCCGATGTTGCTGACCTGTTTGGTCTGCATGGCCTCGAGTTTGGGGCAGTCAGTGATCCGATGGCCCAGGCCCCCGCAGAAGGCACAGCCTCGTTCATCTGGGGGCATAGGGAAATGGAGATCAGCATGGTGACAGGGCCAGGTTCTGTGCCCCAGACCTTGTCCCCCCACCCAACCCCCCCATCCACTCATGCGCAGTGTAGACTTGTTTCCTGGTGTTCCTGTCATGCCCCCGCTTCGCAGTCACCTCCGATGACCAGCATGGACTCGTCCCCACAGTGCAGCACTTGCAGCACAGGTGGCACCTTCTGCTTGGCCTCCAGTAGCAGGGCTTTGAGGTCCATCAGCACTGACTCATCTGTGGGGGCAGTGGGGAGTCATTAGGTCCAACCCTGGGCCCCGTAACCAGGACCTGTAGGACGCGGGAGACAGCTGTGGCGGCCCTGGCAGTACACTCACCGCAGGCCTTGTTGATGAAGGTGGTGGCGATGCCTGTGTTTCCTGAGCGCCCAGTGCGGCCTATTCTGTGCACTGCAGAGAGGAAACGATCTTTGGCCCACTGCCCAGGTCTGGGGCCTAGCCCGCACCCCAATCCCACAAGCTCCCACCGTAGTTCTCAATCTCCTCAGGCATGTCGTAATTGATGACGTGCTGGATGGCAGGGAAGTCCAGGCCCTTGGAGGCTACGTCTGTGGCCACTAGAACATCCTTCTTGCCCTCCCGGAATGCCTCGATGGCCTTGGTCCGTTCCTCCTGGTCTGGGGAGGGTCAGGCGGGAGCTGTCAGGGTGACAGCAGGAGCCTGGGGAGTAGTGGTAAACCAGCCAGGCAGGAAAAGGGTTAGGTGAGGGCTGCTATAGCAGCCAGGTTCAGGCATACACATATGCCATCCTGACCTTTGCCCCCATGGATGGCCACGGCCTCAACCCCCTTAAGCAGCAGGTACTCATGGATGGCATCCACATCTGCTTTCTTCTCTGCAAAGATGAGCACCTGTCCAGAAAGGCCACCTCGTCACAGGGAGTGCCTCCACCCAACGACCCCAACCTTCCCTAGCATGCTGCCCCTATTGCCCTCTCCCCTCATCTTGGGGGTCCTGGGCTGCACTCACGGGCGGGGGTGTCTTCTGCAGGCACTCGAGCAGATACACCATCTTGGCCTCCTCCTTCACATATTCCACCTCCTGCCACCACAGGAGCTAGGTCAGGTGATCCTGAGGACAGGCTCACCAGCCACAGTGCTGCTGCAGAGGCTGGGCCCCCCAATCCCGTCTAGGTGATTAGAAACCTCGTGCACCAAGGGCTGGACACCCTAAGAATGTTTCCTGCTAAGGGTTGAGGCTTTGAATGGAACCCCTAGTGCCCCCTAGGTGGACCACCCACCCTGCTCCAATCAGCTTCAAGGGAGTCTCGCTAGACCCAGCCCTCAGTGGTGAGACTGCCCACCTGTATGACATCTAGGCTGGCGGCCCCAGCGCGCCCCACATTGATCGTGACAGGCTTCACCAGGGCACTCTTGGCAAAGTTCTGTATTTTCTTCGGCATGGTGGCACTGAAGAGCAGGGTCTGTCGCTGGCCCTGAGAAAGAGCTGGGGCTGAGGGCACATGGGGGCTGGGGAAGCTAAGCAGCTGGGACAGTGGGTGGGCAGCCCTGAGGGTGCAGGAGTACCCTGGTCAGGCAGGGACGGGTACCTTGAAGTAGGAGAAGATGGTGCGGATGTCACCCTCAAAACCCATGTCAATCATGCGGTCAGCCTCGTCTAGGGCCAGATAGCGACAGATGTCTAGGCTGACCATCTTCTTTTGCAGTAGATCCATGAGGCGCCCAGGGGTGGCCACCATCATGTGCACACCACTGGGGACCAAGAGAGACCTGAGGTCGGGCCACCTGCTCAGCCCTTCTTAAAGGCTGGCACTGTGACTCCCCCCACTCTGGCCTCCTTCCTGTCTCTCCTCACCTGTCCCCTCCTCATCACTCCCACCACTTTGCCCTGGGTTCAGCATACGTTTCTACTGGAACAAGCTGCAGCCTTCTCGACCAATGCTGTCTATATTCCGGAGCTCTTCCCACCCATGTTTTGACCTCTGCCATTCCTTCTCCTGGGTCATTCCTCCTGGGGGGCTGTTCTGAATCTCCAAATAGCCTCAACCTGCACCCCCCCAGCTCCCTCCATAGGCCTGGAAGGGCTCACTTTACTGGCATACTGAATTCAACTGTTCTGTATCTTCCCTGAGATTGGGATGTCTATCAAGCAGGCACTGGGTGTGACCTGTCTGTGACCCCAGACAACTGGTGATATCTACTGGGGACTGACTGCACTGTGTGGAAGAGCAAGGGTCCAGCCCTGCCCCAGTGCCTTAGCCTCCTTGCTGGACTACATACTGAATGACCCTAACCTTTCTGAACACCCCAGGCCCACCACCTTTGTCTTTTGCCTGGAATGCCCCAATCCTCTGACTTTCCAGATGCCTCTGTTCCAGTTACTATGTTCCCACAGTCCCTCACCACATCCCCCTGTCCCGCCCCAGCTGACCTCTTGCATGAGACTGGAGCTCTTTTAATTAGGCCTCTGCAAGGATCTGCAGAATAGCTAAAGTTCTAGACGCTTTGGGGAGGCCCTAGGGTGAGGGGTGCTTATGCTCACTGTCGGATGGTCTCCATCTGCTCTTTGACAGACATGCCCCCGATGCAAAGTGCGCAGCGCAGGAGTGGCGAGCTGTCCTCCTGCAGCAAGCGGCAATAATACTCCAGGATGCCGTGGGTCTGCCGGGCCAGCTCTCGCTGCAGATACAGGGGCAGGGGCTGGTACCAGAAGACAGTCTCACTGGTGCCCTGCCCTCCAGGCCAGCCTATTTTACCGAGGGACAGATAATGAGTCCATAGGGCCCTTCACGCTTGGAGAAAGGTAATCTCTTTTCTTGTTCCAGGCAGAACATGATGACAGGCAAAGTGAACACCAGCGTCTTGCCTGAACCCGTGAAGGCGATGCCTATCATGTCACGGCCGGACAGACTGTTGGCAGAGGACAGGTCTGCGGGTCAAG